ACATGGCATGCCCTTTCATGACATGTTCTAATTTGGCATGCTTTTGCATGGTATGCATTTACATGGCATGTTCTTTCATGGCATGCCTCCCCCCATGGCATGTCTTCACATGGCATGCGTTCTCAGGGCATATTTTTTTCATGTCATTAACTTTGATCGATATGGCCTTATATGGTCGTGATGAGCAGAGATCTGAGCAACACACCCTTGAACGGCCGCATTCCTCCCGAGATTGGCAGCCTCACGACCCTCACTCTTCTGTAGGTCTCACCAGTCTTGATATTTTCTCACCCTCTCTTTTACCATATCAACTCAAGTACATTCACTCCCTTACAGCATGGGTGGTATTGTTCCTCCTTCTCCCCTCCTCTCTTTCCCTCTGCATCTCTCCTGAATTCCTCCCCCCCCTTTTGTCCCCTACCTTTCTCTTTCCAACACAGCAACCTCGCTAACTGCTCTTTGAGTGGCTATATACCCACCACATTCAGTGCCCTCACGTCCCTCTCCCTCCTGTAAGAAAAATCCCGCAGACCTACATTGGTATTTGCACATATTTCCTACTTGTAGTGGTGCTTTTGTGGGCTTGCCGTTACCAACTGTCCAGCCTTACGTAAGAGAAATTCTTAAAGCATACCTCTCCTCTTCCCTGCTCTATCTCTAGTCCTCAACCCCAGCTGTTCCTTTCCCTCCTACCACACCCTCCACCACTCCAGGACTACTCACTTCTTTGCATACAATTCCCACCTTCGCCTTTGCTCATGTCTCTCTCGAAGCTCATTTTCGCCTCTGTTAATGCCTCTTCCTTCCCCTCACATGTAACCCATGCTCACGGCTTTCTCCCTCTCCTTACCCCACCCGCCCTCCGCCCCCTCCTCCTCCCTCTCGCATCCTCTTCTCCCCTCCCCCTTCCTCTCTCATACCCTCGATCCTTACCCTCTCCCCAACCCCTGCCCTTTTCCCGCCCCCCCCTCCCCTTCTCCTCCCCCTCTCTCATTTTTTTTCTCCCTGCTCCCCTGCGACCACCCCTTCTTCCCCCACCTCCCACGCAGCGATCTGAGTCACAACGCCCTATGGGGCGCCATGCCGTTGTTCCTCAGCCTGCTGCAAAATTTGAGGCGCCTGTGAGTCGGTGGGCTGGGATGCTCGAGGGGCTTGAGAGGCTTGAGAGTTGGGAGGTTGAGAGGGTGTCGTGCCAGAGGCTTGAGATAGTCCTGCTAAAGAGACCCATGCGCCACTGCCCTGCCATCACATACTACACTCACCGCTTGACCAGCCTCTTCCCCATGTCCCTGCTCCCTCCCACCATGCCCTTGCTCCCACCCTCTTGCGTCCTCTCTTTTCGCCCGAGCCTGGGTCATGATCAACAAATTGCTGCAACTTAATTCCATTTCACAAATTGTGTTCTCTAGAGACCCCTGCCCTCGTTGCGCCCTCTGAACGTGCTCTGTCTGTCCAGGCTCTTCAACCAAAGTGACCGCTCTCGCTATTTTTGAGTCAAACTCAAACTAAGTACTCTTGAAATCCCTGCCCTCCTTGCGCTCTCTAGTCGTGCTCTGTCTGTCCAGGAACTTCAACCTGACTGACAGCTCTCGCAGGGCGGATTCATCCCGCAACGACTGTCTACTTAAATTCCAATCCTTTCCTCCATGTGGCTTTTGAGAATTCTCAAAAGTGGCTCGCTGGGTGGATCCGTAGTGTCTGTCTACTCAAAGTCCAACCCTTTCCTCCGTGTGCCTTCCCTTCGCGCCCTGCACACCACCTTCACTTCACATCGCAGGGACCTGAGGAACAGCTCGTTGAGTGGAGCCATTCCAGCTGGCATTGGCATGCTTCCCAACCTGCGCTTCCTGTGAGTCACACCTCCGCCCTCCACCATCCGCCCAGCTACATGTTCAGTTATGACTGTGGATGTATCCCTATTAAATCGAAAAAAAAGGAAAAAAAGAGGAAAAAAAAGAAAACTGGCTCCTCGCATTTGCCCCCTATCACTGTTGGAACGCCTCATTTGCATCAAGGATTTCTAAGTTTGTCTGTCCCCGTTTTTTGGCAATCATTGATCTGTGTTCCATTAGCCTTTGTCCAAATTCATCTGTTAACCTTTAGCTGCTAACCAGGATTTTCAGGTTTCCCACTAATCAACAGTCCTGCTCATCTGCCCCCCTCTGCCTGATGGCCAAAATTCTCTGGTCTGGTGCCTTCCCACTGACTGGTGGTGCTTTTGAGAATTCTCAGAAGTAGCATCAATTCTCTGGTCTGGTGCTTTCCCACTGACTGGTGTGCATCTCCCATCCACAGGGACCTCTCGTCCAACCACCTCACTTCAGACGTTCCTGCTTCCCTGGGCCGACTGAACTCACTCACCCTCCTGTACGCGTCTCATCCATCTTCCTTCATTTTTGAGCCTCGCACTTCTAGAAGCTGCTACCAGCTGGAACGACTCGAAGCTACTCCAGTGGCATTGTGGTCTTTTTTGTTTTTGTTTGCTTGTTTTTCCCTCTTTTTTTGTGTGGGGGGTAGCATCATATAAAAAAAACGAGACCTGTGGGATTAATAATGCCATCACAATTTGTTGTTTTCACCCTCACAAACTGTGCTCACATACGAATTATAAAACTACTAGTGATCCCCTGCCACTCCATCTCCCCCATCTCAACCCCCCTGCCTCTCTCCCCCCTTCTCCCCCCTTCTCCCCCCTTCTCCCCCCTTCTCCCCCCTTCTCCCCCCTTCTCCCCCCTTCTCCCCCCTTCTCCCCCCTTCTTCCCCCTTCTCCCCCCCCCTTCTTCCCCCTTCTTCCCCCTTCTCCCCCCTTCTTCCCCCTTCTTCCCCCTTCTCCCCCCTTCTTCCCCCTTCTTCCGCTGCGCCCTCCTCTCTCCCTGCCCCCTCCCTCTCGCATCCTCCTCTCTCCCCCACTTCACTCATCCCCCCCCTCCCCCCAATTCCCCCCGTTCCTCTCTTCTCCCTTTCCCTTCCCCCTTCCCTCTATGGTTTCCCTCTCTGCTCTCCCGTTCCCTCCCCTTCGCCCTCTCTCTTTCCGCAGCGATCTGAGTCACAACAGTCTACGCAGCAGCATACCGTCGTTTCTCAGCCTGCTGGAGAATCTGAGGCGCCTGTGAGTCGGCGGCTTGAGAAGACTAAGAGGCTTGATGCCTGAGAGAAGTGAGGGGCTTGAGTGGCTTGAAACAATTGAGAGGCTTGAGTGGCCTGAGAGTTGGAAGATTGAAGGACAAATTAAAAGAAGGTAGGGAGTGTGCCATTCAGAGTCTTGCTGTTGAGACCAATGTTACTGTGCCATCAGATTTGCTCACCCCATTTTCAACAACCACCCCCTGCACCCTTGTCCACATGCCCACTCACCCTCCCACCATGCCCTTACACTCTTCTCCCATGCCCTTACATCCTCCCCTCATTCCTTTACACCCTTCTCCCATGCGCTTACACCCTTCTCCCATGCCCTTACACCCTTCCCTCATGCCCTCTCTCCATCCTCCTCACTTTATTCCATTGTGCCAAGGTCTAGTTCATGAGCAGCACTTCGCTTATTCTTCAGCCTGAGTCTGTCTCCTCCCTTGAGCCTTCCCTTGGTGCTCTCCCCCTCTTTCCCCCCCCCCCCCTCTCTGCATGCCCTTCCTGCCCACTTGAGTGCGCCCTCCCTTAGTGCGCTGCACCTCCTTGCGCCCTCCATTCGTGTTCTCCCAGGGACCTGAGCGACAGGTGCGAATCCATTCAGGAAAGACCTTTCAGTCAACTTGACGTTCACCCCTCCCCTCTCTGCAACCCTCCTTCATGCCCTTCCAGGGACCTGAGCGACAGCTCCTTGCAGGGAGCCATTCCAGCCGGCCTCGGCATGCTTCCCAACCTGCGCTTCCTGTAAGCCCCATGGGTTGGTGAACAATCATTCTGCTGTCCATTGACCATTTGGCCGATACAATCTGACTGATTTGGCTGTTATCCATCCAGCCTAGGCTTCGCTGCCTTCCAGACTTTGCTGCTTTCCATCTGCCTTTCTCTGCAGTGGCTGCTTGCCGAAAGCATCTGCTCCCCTAAGCATCCGCTCCCCTCTGCCTGTTATTCAGGATCCTCTGGTTCCCTAACTGCTTTGCCGGATGATCGTCTCTCCCTCAGGAACCTCTCGTCCAACCTCCTCACTTCGTCCATTCCTGCCTCCCTGGGTCGACTCAAATCACTTACCATTCTGTAAGTGACTTCTGACAAAGTTTTGAGAGTTGTCCCTGCTTTTCTAAGTCGTGTTGAACCACTCACAGTTCTGTAGGCGTCCCAGTCCATCGTGCTTCATCATTCGAGCTGCTTGAACCTCACCCATGGCAATAGCAGCTGCAGCAAGTTGGAATGAAGCAAAGCTACTCCAATGGCCGTGCTGGGTTTCTGTTGAGGGTGGCATCACTGGTAAAATCACCGCTGATACATGTCAACGAGAATGAAGTGAAGCAGTCAAGACCTGTCTGTGAAACAAACATTGCCATATCAACTTGCTCTGCCTTCCTCACCTGCTGTGCTCCAGTGCACCAAAACTACTATCATAGGTAGTTTTGCTAGTTTTCACTACAACCACCGCGCCGTTTCTGCCGCTAATTCTTAACTTGCATGCATCTTCACTGCCAATATTCTTCTGTCAACTCCAGTGACCTGCACAACAACACCTTGACTGGTACCCTGCCCAGGAGCCTTGGCATGCTTCCACGCCTCAAGGACATGTAAGCCTAAATAGAAACCAGGTGTGCTTTGAGTAGTTAGAAGGACATGTGAGCTTCTTTAAGAGAACTGCCAAACCAAGGAAAGCACCTTGACCGGCCTCATGGCTAGGAGCCTTGGCATGCTTCCGCGCCTCAAGGACATGTATTCCTCTCAAAGGAAACCAGGTGTGGTTTGAGTTGCCTGAAGGACATGTATTCCTCTTAAAGGATGTAAACATGCAATGTAAGCATCACCCAATTCTAACGCAAAAAATCAGCTGGTTCTCCTCCTCACTTTCTTCCCCACAGGGATGTGTCTGACAACGGATTCTCATCCTCCATCCCTTCAGCTCTTGGCTTCCTCACACGAATCACACGCCTGTAAGCGGACCGCTGCAGCACGCAGAGAAGCAGTCGAGATCTGCCTTGAAACCCACACTTTGAGTCGCATTGGAGTTTCCTGTCCAGTCCACAGGTCAATATTCTACCAGTTTGTTTGTTTGTTTTTTTTTTCAAGTCAGCTATCCAGCCTCCCTCCCTCACCCTATTTCCCTCTCTCCTCCCTCCTCCCCCTCCCTCTCAGTTCTTCCCAACAGTGAGACCGCACACAAAGGCAATGCAATGAAAAGTCTTAACACCCTTCCCCTCTGGCTTCTCTTCCTCCATCTCTCTCCCTCTCCACTTTGCCTGCGCACAGCAATCTCTCGAGCTGCTCTCTCACCGGCACTGTTCCCGGCATGCTGAGCTACCTCACTCGCCTGAAAACCCTGTGAGTCTCACTTCTATCAAGTGCTCTGCATGTTCACAACAGGTTTGGGATCATGTGTGAACTCAAAAACCCTGAGGACGTTTCCCTTCGATGCCGATCCTGCAATTTATCGTGCAAACCAATCCTCCACCACACTAATTTCCTGTTTTTTGCATTCATAACTTTTTTAACCTTTCTCAACCACGCCATAAAACGATCCCGCGCAGTATCAATTGCAGGATCAACGTTGGAAGGACAGGTCCTGATAATGCCACTGTTTTTCTTCTTCCGAGTGGACTTTAAAGGCTTACCAAAGGGCACCGCTTCTCCATGTCCTGTGTTCCTGGGGGCAGGTTTGACTTAGAATCTTACTAAATGGCAACACGACTTTGGTTCTTGTTCCTGCGAGTGCAGGGACCTGAGTTCCAATGCCCTGAACGGCTCGCTTCCCCGCCTCCGCAGATACAGTCTCCTCACGCATCTGTGCGTCATGCACACCACACCACGCTTGCCATTGGCTTGTGCGGCACACCACTGATGCCATATGATGATGCACACCACTGACGCCATGTGATGAACACCACTGATGCCATGTGATGCACACCACTGATGCCATGTGATGCACACCACTGATGCCATGTGATGCACACCACTGATGCCATGTGATGCACACCACTGATGCCATGTGATGCACACCACTGATGCCATGTGATGCACACCACTGATGCCATGTGATGCACACCACTGATGCCATGTGATGCACACCACTGATGCCATGTGTACACAATGCACGTCGTTCAGGCCATTTGTACATGAAGCACATCACCTCTGCCATTTGTACATGAAGCACATCAACTCTGCCATTTGTACATGAAGCACATCACCTCTGCCATTTGTACATGAAGCACATCACCTCTGCCATTTGTACATGAAGCACATCACCTCTGCCATTTGTACATGAAGCACATCACCTCTGCCATTTGTACATGAAGCACATCACCTCTGCCATTTGTACATGAAGCACATCACCTCTGCCATTTGTACATGAAGCACATCACCTCTGCCATTTGCTAGCACCACTCTCGTGGCGCACACTACCTTCGCACACCACACATGCCATGCCATCCTCTAGTGTCACACCATACATGCCATGCCACCCTCTAGTGGCACACCCTGTGTGCACCTTCAGCATAGCTCCGTGTTGGTTTGGGCGCCTAAAATTTCCCCGTCTTGCCTTATCAACTCATAAAGATCACCCCTCTCAGCAATCTCTCTTTCTCGCCCTCTATAATTTCCTTCTGTCCATTCTCTTTCTCCCAAGGCCAATGCCAATGCCTTCCAAGCATCTCAACCGCCCTCCATACCCTCTCCTATCGTCCACTTCTGTTCTTATTTCACGCCCATCCCCACAACAGCGACCTCAGTGCGAATGCCTTCCAAGGCAATGTCTCTCGAGGGCTGGGGAAGCTTCTGCAGCTGCAGCATCTGTGAGCGCCTTTCCACTCTCTTACCCTTCCCTTGTGACATGGGATCTGTGTTTTCCCATTTTTCTGATTGCTCATTTCAAGCTTCAGCAGCACCTATGAGTGCGTGTCCACACTTGTACCCAGGCATGATCAAATGGCCTGGCCCGACCCGACCCGACCCGACCCGACTTGGGCGGGCCAGCCGGGTTCCGGGTCGGGTCGGGTCGGGTCGAGCCTACTCCCATAGGCAGGGTTAGAGGTTCTCTTAAATACTGTGCAGGTTCGCTGAGGGTTAGTGTTCCGTTATAAAAAAACGATTGGCTGAGTACTAACTAAACAAAATCGCACGTTATAGGGTAGATTAGTACGCCAATGTTGCTGGGTGGGTGGCTGCTGGCGTCACTAGCTAGGTAACTTAACTTAATCCAGATCGAAATGCTAGTCACTGGGAAAACAAGCATGCGCGACTGCGATCTGGATAACATTGTCGAGAGGAAACCCTCGGGTCGGGCCAGATACCCGACCCGACATAGGGCGCGGTACCCGAAACCGGGTCGGGTTCATATCGGGTCAAAACCCGACCCGACCCGACCCGACCCGACCCGGAATCGGGTCACGAGTCGACTCGACCCGGCCGGGTCAGCGGTTCAGAACTCCTGACCCGACCCGGGTCAAAACCTGGGTCGGGTCAGGTCGACCCGACCCGCCGGGGCGGGATGCTCATGCCTACCCTTCCCTCGTGAATCCCAGTACATGGGATGGGATCTGTGTTTTACCATTGTCCTGTTGTTTCATTTGAAGATTCACCCTGCACGCTTCACCAAGAACAGCTACCAGCTCGATTTAACAGAACAATGACACCGTACCAAGACTCTTCGCCCTCCAACAGGGGGCTTCGCACCTCATGCCACTCACTCACGGCTCCCCACCACACCCAAACACTCGCACTGTGTCTCTCCATCCCTCTCTTCTCTTCGTCTCCCTAAACGTATCTTTCCCTGCACCGCCCTCCCTCTCTCTCACCTTCAATCCCCAGTGACCTGAGCAACAACCAGCTGAGCGGCTCTCTGCCTGAAGGCCTTGGGAGAATCTCCCTCCTCTCCCACCTGTCAGTACCCTCCTCTCCCACCTGTCAGTACCCTCCTCTCCCACCTGTCAGTACCCTCCTCTCCCACCTCTCAGTACCCTGCACTCCCACCTGTCACTTCCATCAACTCCCACCTGTCACCACTACAACTTATCATAAACCATTACACCTGTTGCATTGAAATCACCCAATCTATGCCTGCACTCAAAGCGCAATTATTTCACCCAGTCTGTGCCCTTAGTGGTCCCAGCTTTCTTTTTGTTCAGTAATTCTTCTTCTCGCAGTCTCACTCTTTTCAGCACTCCTTCTCGCCCTCCCTCTCTACAGTAATCCTTTTGGACCTCCATCTCTGTTCAACATTCTCCATCTCCTCCCCATCTCCTCTGTCTCTCTTTCTTCCTCCTCTCTTTCAGATTCCAGTGACATCATTACTCACCTTTCAGTTATTTAGCCCTCGCTCTCTCTTGTTTATTCATTCCCCCCGTCACTCTTCCGCTCTCCAGTGACATCAGTGCCAACTCGTTGAATGGCACTCTGCTTCACGAATTGGACCAACTCACTGCCCTTACAAGCCTGTGAGTAACTCACTGCTCTAAGAAGCCTGTCTTGCAAGCATTTGAGTAACTTTGTACCTCTGCAAACCCAAGAATACTCCATTAACGTGGTCTCCCTCTGCCCCTTGCAAGTTGCAGTGCTGCTATCACACCCTCCTCTGCTTCTGATCACATGGATTTGCCTGATCACATGGATTTGCCTGAACTCTCACCACTCTTCCTTTCTCATCCCACCCCATCATAGTTCCCGTCATTATTAACACACGTTGACTTACGTGTGGATGGCTCCACTCTCTTCATTGCCACCCACCCAACAATTTCTTCCCTCCCAGCGTATCCTTTACTCCTTCCCATCTTGCCAAATTACCACTCATCATTCCCTCCGTCCATCCTTCCCGTCATATCATATCTCCCTCCTCACCATGCTCACCCACTTCCCCAGCAATTTGGGCAGCAACACCATTAACGGCAGCATCCCTGACTCTCTGGGAAACCTCACCAACCTCATCTCTCTGTACGCACCCACCCACACTACCCGTGTAGGCATCCTCTGTATTCGCCCCCACCACCGGGACCACACATCTCCATGTCCATTTTTCGTTTCCATGCTATCTGTTTTTCCTTTTTTTTTTTTAATCAATCTTTTGTAAAACTGCTTCATTGGAAGGACGAAAACGAGTGAATGCGTATTGATCTCTTTGTCCACATTTGATTCCAGTAACTTCTCAACGAATCTGCTCAACGGATCCATTCCTTCGTCCTTTGGTGATTTTTCCCACCTCCTCTACTTGTAAGTCTTCTACACTGTCCCTTCCCTCATAGAACCATATTTCTACCCTCATAGAACCCTCATTGCACCCACATCGCACCTCATAGAACCCTCATATCAGAGGACCCTCACCTCCACAAAACCCTGACACTTGTTTTGCATATTGCCAAACAAACAGTTTCAGGTCCATCATAAATGGGCGAACGACTTCCAACCTACTCCAACAGTGTTTTCTCCCTGCCTTCAACTGTCCTCAGTTGCAACAGCCACACAAGAACCTTTTTTTTTTTTTTTTTTTTTTTTTCTTTTTTCGGGGCCTTTTTTATCAAGCATCTGGTCACGATCCTCATGCTTCTCATCATCAACCACCAGTTACATCAGCTGCAACAGCCCCTCAAAGCATCTCTTATTCAGTGGCGTTTTGCGGCCCTGACCCTCTTGCTGTCCTCTTGTCTCCCTTTAATGTTCTATTTTCCCACCAGTGACGTCAGCTACAATGGCCTCAACGGGTCGCTCCCAGAGACCTTCAGCCGACTCTCCGCACTCAAGCACCTGTAGGCGCTCAAGCACACTTGGCGCTGCTTTTGGATATTGCATTTTACAGCTCGCTGCTCTTGTGCCCTTTATCACATGCAAAATTGGTTGAGTTCACTGTTTTTTGGTCCTTACATTGTATGCCTCCCCCTCTCTCTCAGGCAAGTCGCCAATAATCAACTGAACCAGACACTCCCTGCCAGCTTGAGCAATCTCATCAGTCTCACCAACCTGTACGTGGCAGCATTCGAGGATTCCAGTCAGCCCTTGGGAACATTTTTTCGCCTTATCACCATAACCGTTTTGGGTCTCCCCTTAATCACCAGTGATAAGCCTCACTTTGTGAATGACTACCAGTGTACTTGCTTGCACACTGCTCACATTCCGTTCACCTCTTCCCAGCAACATCTCGATCAGATTCATCAACAGAACATCACATCACATCCAAAACTGAATTGTTTCCGCCTTGGTTGTGTGCCATACTTTGGACATTGCAGCAACATCTCCATCAACTTTATCAATGGGACCTTCCCTGCTGCTATCAGCACCCTTACCAACCTTGTCGCTCTGTGAGTCGCCGCTCCCTCATTCACTCGTATGCTTCGAATTCGCTGATTGACCCGGTTTTGTGTTGCTGGCATCTCGCATCTTTATATGACATGTTTACTCGCATTTTCACATGAAAGTATGTGAAGGTTCCATGAAGGCACAAGCCTATGACAACTTCCAGTGCTCACCAATACCTCTGCTCTCAAACCTTCAATGCCTGCAGTGACGTTCACTTCAACAGCATCAACTGCTCCTTCCCTTCTTACATCAGCACGCTCACCAAACTCACATGGCTGTAAGACTGCCGTTATAACGTTACACCCTAACTGCTTCTTCTGCCACGTCAATATGAGGACGCCCCAGTTCTGTTGGAAAAAAATCGTTTGTTTGTTTTTTTCTGTGTGCACATCAAATTAAACCATTATGGCTGCAGGGCTGCCAGTGTTTGCAAGAGATCTCGCTTCATGATAGCATCCGTCGCACATGGCCTTGCTGTTCTGTTCTCTTGCTCCCTCTACCTCGTCCAGTGACAAGAGGGACAACAAATTATAGTGGTCCCATTGTGATCTCCACTTGTAAAATATCCCGCTTCCTTATCGCACCCCTGCACCACCGCCAGTGACATGAGCAATAACAAGTCATGGGGTCCCACTGGAGAGAGTGACCATCTAGTCTTGAGACGTCTGAAAGCTGTTGTGTTTTCTTGCCCCCTCTACCTCCGCCAGTGACACGAGTGACAACAAGTTCTGGGGTCCCATTGGAGAGACCATCGGCGCACTCACTAACCTCGAGTTCATGTGAGTGTCCCCATGCCCTGCCGTTCCATGCCATGCCATGCCACGACATGCCATACAGTACGACATGATACCATACCATGCCATACCGTATAGCATACTATACTAGATAGTACAACACCATACCATACCTGTCATACCATACTAGTATAGCAGGCCATACCATACAATGCTGTCCCTGAAATTCTCTGCCATATAATGCCATCCGAGACACGGCAATAGTACTTGATTCCAACGTCTCATCATCTAAAATCATTCTCCTGACCTACAAAATATCCATTAGCTTTGCTGATCGTTCTAAGATGGGTACTTACGATCTCCTGTCTTTCCCGCTGCCATGCTCTCTGTGCGCTTCCCCGTTGCTACATAAATGTGGCTAGAGAAGTATAGGGTAGCACGGCACCCGTACATGCACCTGGATTGGTAACTAATGGTGATTCCATGAATATCACCAAGCCCATCTCTTTGTTTATCCCCTTATCATGCCCTACAGCGTCACTGCAGGAGTGTAGTGTGGAGCCCATACCCTGATCCTCTATCATGAACTCAGGCTGTACACTTTCCTTCACTCACCTCACTGCAGGAGTGTGGCATGGAGCCCGTACCCTGATGCTGCCACAGCCATCAGTGGATCCATTCCCTCCAGCATTGGCAACCTCCTCAACCTCAGATATCTGTGAGCGCACACACAAACTTCTCCACCTCAAATACATTTGAGCGTGTAACACAACCTC